GAGGGAACCCTGAAACCAAAAAAACACTGCAACACTGCACCATTGTACCATTTGACTGAAAGCTGAATAAATAACTTGATGAAAAGGCTTGATTTAAATATAATGAATTCTCAAGAAAAAGACAAAGATATTAAAGAAATTAGTAAGGAGATGACACACGTGGAAGACAAGTTTTTGTTTGTTTTTCAAAAATTCTTTTTAGGGAATTCCCTGGCAGTTCAGTGGTTAAGATTCAGAGCTTTCACTGCTGGGGGCCCATGTTCAATTCTGGTTGGGGAACTAAGATCCTGCAACCACATAAATTCTTTTTAATAGTATCTCTACATTAGTTTTACAATAGTAGTGGTACAAAATGTTTCAAATAAGAATAATCATTGTCCCTGAAGTAGAGAATCCATCAAAGATCACAGAAATAATATTCAGAGCTATTACACACAATAATTTCCCTGAAATGATTAAAAAACCTCAACTTCCAAATATCAAGGTTATGTTTTAATATCAGGAAAATATGTTAAGAGTCTGATTGACTGTGAGATACATTGTTGTCAAGACACTGAAATTCAAAAGTACAGAAAAAATTCTTAAGTAGGTTAAAATCAAATCTGCCTCAGGTTTTCCACAAGACTTTTCACTAAAAGCAATGTTTGCAAAGTCCTGAGGGGAAAAACAGCAAGACCCAAGAATAGTTGTTGCTTGAGTTTAAATAAAACAGGAAGACATTTTCAAGCATGAAATAACTAGGGAATAGGAAACTATCATGAAAGACTGCAAATGGACACAAATTCTCTGAAGCTTCTCTCATCAAAAGGTAAAGTCTATTTCTTTATCTTTTAAATCCATGCTGGCTTATAATTTGCTTTGACCAATGACTTGGAAGGGACACTATATAAGGTCCAAGCCTAAGCCTCAGGGGACAGTGCCACTTCCAAACTCCCTCTCCGAGGGATGAACAAGCCTGAGCAAGCTTGCGGGAGGGGGCTACAAAGGGCCTTGGCTGACCACCAGATTGGAGCCCAGGCTCCCTGGTCAGCCACTAGCCAACTGCAATCACATAGGTGAGTCCAGGAGACATCAGCTGAAACTCCCAGTTGAATGCAGCCCATCTGACTAACCCACAGAAGTGGGATATAGGAAAAGATCATTGAGGGTGGTTTATAACCCAAGGAGAGGCTGATACGGGCTTCCAAGTTGGCTCAGTGGTAAAGAACCCGCCTGCAATGCAGAAGATATGGGTTTGATCCCTGGGTTTGGAAGATCCCCTGGAGAAGGAAACGGCAACCCACTCCAGTATTCTTGCCTGGGAAATTCCTTGGACAGAGGAGCCTGGCAGGCTACAGTCCATGGTGTCGCGAGAGTCAGACATGATTTAGAGACTAAACAACAACAAGAGGCTGATCCATGACAAAATCCATACTACTAAATCAAAATGAAGTCAGAAATGAAGAAGCAATAAACAATAATACTTTTAACTGAAAAGGGTGCAGAAACAAGGGAGCCGTCTTAGACTGTTGGCAGGAATGTAAATTGGTGTGGCCACTAAGGAGAACAGTATGGAGACTCGTCAAAAAACTAAAAATAGAGCTAGCATATGATCCAGCAATCCTGCTCCTGGGCATATATATCCAGAGAAAACACTAATTTAAAAACACACATGCACCCCAATGTTCATAGTAGCACTATTTACAATAGCCAAGATATTGAAGCAACCTAAGTGTCCATTGACAAATGAATGGGTAAAGAAGATGTGGTATATATGTATAATGGAATATAACTCAGCCATGAAAAAGAGCAAAATAATGCCATTTGCAGCAACATGGATGGACCTAGAGATTATCATACTAAGTGAAGTAAGTCTGACAGAGAAAGACAAATATCATGTGATATCACTCATGTAGAATCTAAAAAAAAAAAAAAAACCAAATGAACTTATTTACAAAGTAGAAATAGACTCACAGACATAGAAACAAACTTACAGTTACCAAAAGGGGAAATGGGGGGCAGGGGGGTAGAATAAATTATGAGTTTGGGATTAGCAGATACATATTACTATATCAACTAGATAACAACAGGATCCTACTATATAGCACAGGGAACTATATCCAGTATCTTGTAATATACTATGAGGGAAAGGAATCTGAAAACAACAACAACATATATATATATAACTGAGTCACTTTCTATACACCAGAAACTAACACAATATTGTAAATCAACTAAACTTTAATTAAAAAATTAAAGAAAAATACATTTAAATGCTGAAATTAAGACAAATCAGTATGGAAATGATGGATTAAAATAGCATGCCAATGTTATAAACCCTGAGAAAGTGAAAAATCATATAAGCAAAAAATTAGGAAGTGCAGGACAGAGGTAGAAGGAACTGAAAGTGTGCAGATCTATCTTTCATAGCAGGGAACTCAGTAGTGACCAATATTGAAGCATGTAGTTTGAAAAAGTTACTCTGCCCTATTAATGATTTTTATAATTGTGTTTAACCTTTGAGAAACTTCTTACAAGTCAGTTTCTCTTGCAGTGAAGAAACATGCATCTGAGTAGATCCTTCAGTTAAATTTAAGACTAAATTCAACACTGTACTTTAAAAACAACGTGCAGATTGAGCTTACCCCTGTTACAGTCACTCTACATATGTAGCTCTCTATCCACCTTTCTATCTGTATTTATCTATGTAATAATGGCATTCACCAACCGTGGTTATTTGTAGTATTTCTGAGATATTAAAATTGGGGTGATTTGAGCTTTTCTTTAGGATTCCCTGATAGCTCAGTTGGTAAAGAATCTGCCTGCAATGCAGGAGACTCTGGTTCAATTCCTGGGTTGTGAAGATCCACTGGAGAAGGGATAAACTACTCACTCCAGTTTTCCTGGAGCTTTTCTTTATTTCTTGAAGCTTCTATAAAAGGCTTAAATGATTTTTATTAAAACCACAAAGTTATAAAAGGAGTTTACAAGAAGTTTCTTGAGCGAGCAGTCCCAGTGGAAAGCAGGTATTTGCATATGGAATACTGAAATAGCATTATGCTGTAAAATGTTATCTAAGCTGGTGGTTCTCAATCGCTACACAGCATAACCACTGAAGAGCTTTTCAAAAACATCAGTGTCTCCGCTCAGACCCATTAAATAAAAATCTCTGGGATGGGGCCTGGAAATCGAGATCTTTAAAATGTTGACCAGGTGATTCTGACATGCAACTATAGTTGAGAAGCACTTGTCTCAACAGGCCACATAGACATAACCCTCAGATGCAATGCATGTGGCTGGAAAGCAAAGGACAATTGTTCGTCCTATGCCTCCTCTGTCCCACCAGATCTGTTACTCTAAAAGAGGAGAATGAACACTTTGAGTAGGCTACTTGACCCCAGTCTAGGTTCCCTTGTGGTCATAAGATGCCTGACAGTAGGAACTGAGGCAACATGCTTTCTTGCTCTTATACATTCAGAAGGAGACACTGGCTCCTTACAGAGCACCCCCCCCCCCCCGCCCCGCCAAAGCTCTGAGTTGGCACCTTTGTGTCTCATTGGCTTTAAATGGATGACACACTCATTGCAGAAATAGTTCCTATTGAGATGGAATTATTATGATTGGATCACCAATGCTTCTTCAAATTCATTGTGTAGAGGAATTGCCTGGGAATCTTGTTAAAATGAAGATTTTGATTCACCAAGTTCTGGAGTGGGGCCAAGATTCTGCATTTCTAATGAGCTTCCAGATGATTAAAATGTCTGTCAGGCATCACTGTCAGCGACACGTTCAATGACCACCTTAAATATCAAGCACACCTGATATTTACAGCAGCTGAGGCTGAACACAGGAAGGCTAATAAAAGAGCCTGCTACAGAAATCCAGACGTGGGAAGCAGCCGCGAGAGAGAATCCCTGGCCTAGCAGAACACCCGAGTTTCCTTTGTTTACCGGGCCAAGCACAGAGGTTGGGCGGGGAGCCCGCCGCATAAGTCCACTTAAGGGGTTCACTTCTCCACACTCGTGTCTCCGCCCGCCCGTCCCACCGTCTTCCTTCGGGGTGAGGATAAGGGTGAAACCTAAGGGCCTGGATTACTGGTCCGGGTCTTGTGGGCGCCGGCACTCCGAAAGTGAGAGGACCTCAGCCGGTGGGAAGGGCGCTGACACCCTCACAAGGCAGTCGGGGTGTGCGGGGAAGAACAATCAACTACTGGACAGGAAGCGCAAGGCCAGAGAGTTCGGAAGACTAGGCCCCACGCGGGAAGACGGACACGACAGCAGCGTTCGAAAACACCACGCCTGCGCTGCCCGAGCCCGGCGCGCGCTCCCGCCCGCCGCCTCAGCCGAGCTCAGGTCCAGCCGCTAGCTCGGAAGGTGAGGGCGGGGACGCAGACGCCGGAGGGACGGCCGAAACGCGCGAGCGCGGAGAACGTGCGCACGCGCAGAGCTGCCGCCGGCGGGCGCCTGGAGCGCGGGAGAAGCGTTGGAAGCCACTGAGGAGCGGCACCTTGGTGAGCACTCCCGCCCCCCGCCTCGCCCCGCCACTGCCTCCCTCCCTTCCCTTTTCTCCCGGAGTGCTTTGCGCGCGCCCGGTGGGCCGGGGGGAGGGGAGGGGAGGGGAGGCGGCGGTGGCAGCCATGTTGTTGTGAGTCTCTGTGTCTCACCCTCGGTACTTCGGTGGTTCGGAGGAGGAGGAGGGGGAGGAGAAGGAGGAGGTGGGGTGGGGGGGAGGGAGGTAGGTGGAGAAAGAAGATCTTGCCGCCACCGAAGGCGGAGGAGGGGGAGGACGGCCAAGAGCGACGCCGCCGTGTGCCCAACGGTCGGTGTCCCCGGCTGAGGCAGCGCGGCCGCAGCAGCCCCGTAAGTCAGTCGCGCTTGCACCCCTCTCCCCGTGCTCTGGCGCCGCGGGGCGGCTCCCCGGGCTTTGTGTGGCAGTCTCGGCTGGGGGCAACCCGCCGGCGGGAGGGCGGACGGGGCCCGTAGGCAACTCAGGACGGCCGCGGCCTGGGGCCCGCTCGCACAATGCAGGGGGAGGGGGGTGCCGGAAGGGGGTGTGCGCTCGGCGTGAGTGTGTGTGTGGGGGGGGGAGTGCTCACGCCTTTCCCGCTTCCTTTCCTCCCCGCGTCGAGCCTCGCGAAGTTTGGGGGGGGCCCTCCCGGCCCTTTCTTGGTCCCTTTCTTGGTCCCTTTCTTGGCCCCAGGGTTAGAGATCGAGCTGTCCGCCTGCCCAGCCCTTAAAGGCTCGGAACGTGCGGGGGGAGAGCGGCCGGGTGGATCCGAGAAGCATGCGAGTTGGAAGTGGGTGAAGAGGAAGGAGCGGGTTTATGAAAACAAGTGTGGGGGTGAATGCTTGAGGTCCCGAGCGTGTCCAGGAAAAGCTTCCGGCAGACAGGTGTAGGGACGAAAGAGACGGTGTAGGGCTTATGGGTTCGTTGTGTTAGGTGCCATTGGTGAGGAGTGTTGTGTTTTTGTTAACTGGAACCGATATCGAGACTCAGGGAAATGTGTAAAAATTAAAACCAAAGAAGAGATTAAAACCTCACTCATTTTAGCCATTGTTTTGTATCTGAACTGGGCCAAGTTTGGGGAACATGTTAAAATTTTTTTGCCCAAACACACGTGTTAAAGTTAGTGTTAACTTCCGAGACCACAGAGGGAAAACCAACTTTTCTTAGCTTTTCATTCTGACACATTTATACGTTTGAATGGGATGGGAATTGAGGTGTTAATCATGTTACTAAGAGAACCGTGTTAAAATCTGGACTTAGTACTTTGTAAGATTTTAGCTTAAAAATTGGTGACAGACATGGGGCAAAGGGTTTTTTTTGGGGGGGGGGGAGCTGTACTAGAAAAAAGCTTTTAAATGTTTCAGAGAAATGTAGTACTTGGAAAGGTATATCAAGAACATTTTAATAAAGGGTGTTACCTAAGAATTTCAGTAGACTTGTTTACTGCTTAGATTCGTGTTTGATAGGTGACTCTTCACCATGTGACCTGGAGCACTGGAGGATGATTTAAGGATTTCTGGCTAGGAATCCGGTTAAAAACACAAACATAAAAGAGTTTTAATTGGCTAAGTTTCTGTTCTTAGTTTTTTAATACCCTGCTTTAAGAAAAAATGATTTGCTTTATCTGTACAGTCGTCCTAAATAGTTGCTGGCGTTTCCCTTATTTCAAGCATGTCTTTTAAAAAGCCCAATTTCTGGTGACATTGAGTTGTTTAGAATTGTCTTTTGATGTTCTGGAGGGTGGGTTTTGTATGAGATAAGCCATGTTAAAAAAAATTAAAGTTATATTTCAGAATCCTGGTTCTTCACTTTTAAAGTTCATTTTTCTTATTTGCACAATAACTCTTCAGGTTACATTTGCAATTAACAAATATCTTCAGACAATTTAAACTTTAATTTTAATACATAATTTTCTTATTTTGAGTCTAAAGTTCTCCTAGATGTTTGATATTAATAAAATTTCAGCTTTTTAAAGCCTAAATACTGCCACATTTAAATTGGTCATACAAGGTTGTCACTTTAATAGGTCAGTTTTTTTAGGCATTACAAGTATGTAATAAGCCAAATAAGCAGTCTTAACACAGATACTAATATTAGGATTTTGTTTCTCTTAAACCTTCCATACTTGTTTATAAATCTTTCCTGTGTTGAAAGATAATTTATCTTCCTATGTAGTTTACTTCCTGTGTAGGTACTAACCAAGTTAACAGAAGTCATTACTTTCAGAGATTAAGGCCAGGTGTGACAATCCAAAGCCAATCTTCTCTGTGACCAGACTGCCTCCTTTTTATTGATACTGATAGGATCTTCATACTTTTAAGTGGAGGTTGATTCTGTCTCCTAGACTCAAGTTCTTTGTACTTTGTATCTTTGTACTTTGTAATTCAGCGACCTTTGAATTTGTTGGGTTTCTAAGACAGGAAAACACTGTATTTTTTCATGTTTTTATAACTTGTGGATACCTACTTGAAATATCTGAATGGCTTTGTTCAGCTTGCATTCACAGTTTGAGGCCATTTTACTGACAGGTATGATTAAGATAATTGTACCTGTAACATTGTAAATTGACTTGTTACATACTAGATTTTTTGCTGTTTTTTAGAAAGCATAAAAATAGTCTGACTTGCTCCTATTGTCCCACCTTCTCACTTTTCCTTTTGATGAGTTTATAAGAAGGAACTGATCAAGTATATGGCTCAGCCCCTTTCCCCTTACTCTTTGGGAGCCTGCCCCCTTGCAGAAAGCACTCTGCTTCTTCCTGAGGTCACCAGTGATAGACTCTGTCCCTTTCTGGAGGAGGACGGTGGTTGTCCAGTGCTATCTGTGAGTGGATTAGGATAATTATGAAGTGTGGTTGTTAAGATGCTGTCTTGGTCTAGGTTTAGATTTTGCTTTTCAGAAATAAAGGAGCTATTTGGATTACCATCAGTCTTAACTCCTATGTCTCTCACTCCTGAATTCTGATGTGGCGGGGAAAAGGTTTCTTCAAACCCTATTATTTAGAAACTAATACTTAAATAGTGATTTTTATATTTAGCAATATAGATAGAAGACATTTTTATTTAGTTGTTGCTTTTGTAGTAGAAAAAGTGAATTTACAGAGAAATAATATTCTCACACTTTTCCAGTGAAATGCTGTATGGAATTAATACATAGGTAGGTGCATGATACATGCTGCTGCTTCTCAGATTTTCACATAGCAATATGCTTAGAGACATATCACAGATTTTCACTTCTTATTCTCTTACCATTGTCTTGTGAAGAGATAAAACATTTTACAGTACTGGAAAACATCCAGATTGTGTCCACCTTACATACATATTCCAGAATTTTACCGTACCTGTCAGATACAAAAGCGCCTAAGAAGTGTGAAGGGAAAAGGGATAGTTAGGGTGTCAGAACACTTTAACTGGAAGTGGGACAGAAAAGGCAGTCATTTTCACCTTCCTAGGATGATATGTGTATTTGGATCGCAAAATTCTGCTTCCTGGAAGAGTTCTGGTGAAATTGACTATAAAGTGACAGTACAAAACCATCTACTCAGTGCCTGCCTAGGAGAATAAAATCTGTAGCTGACTTCCAGAGTACGTAAAAAATAGTGTGAGAAGGGGTTGGTTTTTTTAAGTCCCCCCAAAAAAGTATGTGAGACTTAATTTTAGAGATGTCTTTGTGGTTTCTGTTTGTGGAACATTTTATGTCAAGAGTAGCAAGTTCTAGATCTCTTAAGTGGTGATCTCTGATTTTAGACACTTTCTGAAAGACTTACTAGGGAATCAGTGGGAGATGGTCTTTAACTGTATAAAATGGTTTTCTTCATTCTGACATTAAAAGAAAGTAAATGAATAGCTTCCCGGGTGGCTCAGTGGTTTTAAAAAAAAAAAATCTGCCTGCCAATGCAGAAGACATGGGTTCGATCCCTGAGTGGGGAAGATCCCTTGGAGAAGGAAATGGCAACCCACTCCAGTATTCTTGCCTAGAGAATTGCAGGGACAGAGACGAGCCTGGTGGGCTAATGTTCATGAGGTTGCAAAGAGTTGGACATGACTGAGTAAGACACACACACACATAGTATTTTATTAGCATTTTTAGCGTGATTAAATGCAAAAACATTACACTTTCCATGGCAAAACCTGAGTCATTTAAAACTGATTCAACATAACCAGAATTAAGATTTGAAATGTAGAGAATTTAGAAATTCAGGGTTTCCTATGATGTTTTCTTGGACCACCTTGCAGTAGGAATATAATTGATTGCTTTTCATCCAATTTGTGTTTGTGCATCCTCAGTCTTCATTTAAACTCTGAATTATGTGGCACCTATACAAGCAAAAATAGGAGTACTCAAAGATAAATCGTTTGCTAATTTTTATCCTAAGTCTGGTTAAGAAGGTACTCATGGAGTATTAGTTCCCATTCAGTCCATTTGTTACTCTGGATTGTTATCTAAGCTATATCATTTCATCAAGCTAGAGTATCAGAAACTTGCATTCATTTTTTGAGGTTTGCAGGCAGGCCTGTCATGTGCTACAGTGTTTAGATGTTGGTGGGGCAGTGGTCTCTGATCTTACTGTTTTACTGCAACTATAAGGTTACGTTTACAGTGGAGGGGAAGTTGATAAAACTCATGTTTACACAGTGCAGGACACTAAGTGCCACCCTAGGTGGTGTTGCAGAAGTGCTGTGGACTCAGGTAGGTAGACACTGGGCAGGTTCAGGAGAAGCTTTCCAGGAGAGGTCAAGTGGACTGTAAGAAGACTGAGAAATGTTAATTTAGTCAAGAGATGGGTGAAATGGCATTTAGCCAGAGGGATTAGTGTGTGTGGTGACCCAGATAGGGAGAATGGCAGAGCTAGAAGGGGAGGTAGGGAAAAGATTTGACTGCAGATATAGGTAGAGACCCACTGGATTTAAGGGTCATTTTAAATTTGAACAATTCTGTGAAGACTTTGGAGATAATATCTTGGAAAGATTTAGACCATTATTGTCCAGGAACCCATAACATAATTACTGTGAGTCGCTTTCCCTGGATTGTGTTAGAGGAGTTAGATACATGACTTTCCCTGAAGGATTGGCTAAAAAATGAGATTATGAAACCTTGCATCTGCTAAGCAAGTCATAGAGTATATTTTCTGTTACAACTCTTGAGTTCTCTATAATACTGTATATGAGAATTTTCTTTTAAAGCTTAGTGTTAGAAATAAGATTATCTCGTTAAAAAAAAAAAAAGGAAAGGTTGTCTCCAAGGAACTGGATACTGAGAATTTCATTGTATAATATACTGTGTCCCCCCATCTTTATGACTTTAGAAGTTAAACTTGAGTTTACTTATTATTTTTGTTATTTAATATTTGCTTAGATATTTTCCTAAGATTAGTTTTTGTTGTGTACATTTCCTATGAATCACTTGGTGTGTCTTCCAGAATTTTTTATTTTGTATAGAGTGAATTTCATTTAGATTATATTCAACTATTTCTACCACAAGCACTTTTTCTGGTATGTACCTTGAAACTGGTAGTCCTTGAAACTAACATACATTTGGTTTCTCTTTTCAGAAACTGCAATGTAGGTGCTTTTGAGTTTTTGTTGTTTTCTAAGTGAGAGCATAGGGTTTTGTTTTGTTTACTTCTGTATCTTTAGGAAATTGGTATGGTCATCTCAATTTAAAGTGATTGGGAAGCAGATCATGAGTTCAAGGCTTGTTCTTGAATATTTGAGGAACCTGTTTAAAAAATCACAATTCATACTCATCACCTAAAAGATTTCCTTATATTTAACTCAAAAATTTGCACTGCTCATATTTTTCTTACAGTGTTCATGATAGTCACAATAAACTAAACAGTTAAAAAACTTAACTGTCACAGATTATGACTTTTCCTAGAGAAAAGTTAAGA